CTGCCTCCTCTGTGGTGTCTGGTAAATAATTTAGTTGGGCTCATCACTTTATCAGTGAAGTATAGATAATCCTTTCTGGGTGATGAGGGTTAATGCCTGTAAAGTGCTTCAAAGATGAAAATCACTGTAAATGTATTAATATTTTATTTTTATGGACTGAGGCTTAATCCTTGTATGCTTTTAGCTGCTTGAAAAAACAATCCTGTCTTATTGGAAATAAGTGTTTCTTTTGTGCCATGCCTGTTGTTCTTCCATTTTTTCTTCCTCTGCTATGCACAATCAAGAGGGGAACCAGTTTTTGTCACAGGTTAGCAGTAGTTCCCAATCTAATAATTCCAGGGTTGTCAGCAGAGACGATTCCCACAGAATTAGCCACTGTGAGGGTGAAGATAGTGAACCGCTTGCCACACACTGTGCTAGTGCTTTGGTCCGCAGTAATCCATATGTAAGTGTATGTCTGAGAACAGTACCCATATAAAGGAAATGCATATATAAGGAAAAGAAACTAATTCTGTTAGTTTGTGAGAATTTGAGTTGATTGGCTTGCTCAGAACTGATGGTCTCTGTGGTTTTTTAGCTCCCTTTGTATAAATGCCAAATAAGATGGTTGTATTTTTCTGAAAAGTTGGGATAAAATCTAAAATACCTACACAGACATGGACAAGAGAGTTTGCAGTGCCACAAAACTGCTGAAAACTGCAGTCTTCAATTTCCTATATTCTCTCATTAAGTGGCAAGCAAACAATAGGTTTGCTATGAAAGCTAAGGATCATAAGCTGTTCCATGGTCACAATAGGCACTTCACTGGGGAGAGGATGCAAGCAGTGAATATCATGGGTAATACAAAAGGAGAGGGAAAACGAAAAGGGCTTTCAAAATCCTCCCTTAGAGTGATTCATTGCACATTAGACTTAAATCTAAGGGAGCTATGCTAAGGGTCACCTTTTTAGAGGGGGTTACCCCTCTTGTTGATGATACTAGCTTAGTAGCTGGGAGTTTATCATATTTATGATTGAGCTATGGTGAGCTGAAGAGAGATGGCTCTGTTGGCCAAGAGGACTAGGGCTGTTAAAGAGGGTAGACAGCAGCTGTTGGGAGGGGTAGGTTTGGCAATGTAGTTGAGAGTTGCCAGTAAAGGTTGGCGTAGAGCAAAGGCATTGTACATGCTGACTTCAGCACCCTTGTCTAGGGGCCAGGGAAGATTTCCAGTCTGATGTATATTTGTATCTGCATTGCTGTAAAATGCGTTTTATGTTCAGTTTCGTAGTGGGAACAGAGCTCCCCATCACAAATAGTTGTTATTTCAACTAATGTCTTGTTTTCCTGGTTGACACAGTGGGGCTTTCCATACACAAAGCCTTAGTTCAAATGCGGTGCTTTTTAGCTTGAGTTGTCTGGCTCAAGAAAGAGGTATAGATTAGAGCATGAGTTAATAATGACTTGTTAGCTGCAAATACAACCATTCTGCAGTGTGGATCCATGCTAGTTCCAGTTGAGTGCCTGTAGTCTTCCAGTGCCTTCCCACAATACCCATCTCTCGAGAAGGGCAGATATACTGTCAAACTTTACAGGGTGCTTAAGCTTACTGTAGCACTGCGTAAGAGCAAGTATGGTGCCAGTGTGGACGTGGCAGCTAGTCTTCTGTGGCATGGGTGTTCGTACTTGAGCAAGGCTAACTTGACAGGAGTACAATGGTAATGTCTTCATTGCAAGGTTAACTCGAGTTAATTATACTCAAGTTGGGATTGCCATCCCCTTCTTGGTTGGCTAGAAATAGATGGGGGTCAGGGAAGACTTTTGTGCTGTGGGTTCTGTGCCTCTGTCCTTTGTTCTTTAATAAACTAAAGAATGTCTTCAGAGCACAGTTAATCCAAGTGAGTTTCACCATAGTTAGCCAACTCAGGCATGAGAAGCCCACACAACAAAGCCATAGCCATGTTTCTCTGTTCTCAGTGTTACTTGCATTGCTTGTGTGTCTGGGCCCGTATTCAGTGGTTCTTGAGCTTGAATGCCTGAGGTTCCCTGTTACAGGAAAATGTGTCCCCTTCAGGAAGGAATTATAGGAATGGCACTGAAGCACTAAAAATACACAAGTGTTTTCTTTGTTCTTTTGCCTGTGTCTTCATGTTAAAGTGCAAAGGATCCAGCCAAAGTTAGAACCTGTCTCTATCTTCCCAGCTGTGTAAAATAGCTTGAGCCAGTAGCAGCTCCAAACTTGTCAAAGGATTTTTTTTCTGGATGGGTAGTATGGTGTTCAGGCTAATGCCCATATTAACCATGCAGTGAAGATCTATTCTCTGTTCCTAGGATTTTTTAATTGGGCACTCTTCACCAGGATGGGTCACATAAATGCTTTTTAATCTAAATCTAAGATCCGTCTGAGAGGTAGTTTGGCTGCTGGAAAATGGGATACAGAGCCTCAGTTTCCATATTCAGATCAGAGACTTGTGTGTCACGCCAGCTAGTGAATTTCCATGCTGCTCGGGCACTGTAAAACTCCAAGTCACCAGTGAAGTCAAATCATCCATTGCAATCATTGGACTAGCCACAATTTGGCCTGAACATGTAAACAGTAATGTGTAAACATTTCCATTGGATGGCGAAGTTTATCAGCAAGATGAGACTTCTGCATTTCTTAGAGGTGACATTAGTTTATTCTTCAGAAAAACTTGGGCAACAGAATTTTTGTCTCAAGTAATTCAGTATAGGTAAAAGGGAAACCTTTTTTTTTTTATTATGAGTGGTAGAGCCAGGTAATAAAACCGACTTAAGCATGGATGATTGGCTGGAGAATATTTTAGTTATCAAATAAATCTTTGCTCATGGCCAAGACAGGTGCAGCAATAGAAAGAAATCCCTCTTTTAGGGTCTCTGTGATGATTTGGGGACTCTAACCCATTGTAGAGAGTGGAAGGTGTGTGTGTGTGTGTGTTGTGGATGAGAAGCCACATACAGGGGGGAAGGAACTTAATGGTTTGGGTGAACACTGTAAAGGGAAGGTCATGCTGATTGGTGTTTTGACTGGAGATTTGTCCTTGTCAGTGTGGGCTCTAGCACATTGGTACCTAAGCTTTTTGCCCCGTGGGCTCGATGCTGAGTGCTAGATCTGGCCACCATCCAGATGTGTGGGCGGGGGGTAGGGGAGCAGCCTATCCCTGATCCAGATACCTGGTGGGGTAGGCAGGGTGGAGCAGCCCCTATCTGGACATGGTGGGTGTGGGGACGAGGGAGAGCATCCCAACCTGATCTGGACATGTGGGAAGTGGGCCCAGCTCTGGTCCCACTGCAGAGCAGTGACCTGGCTGGGCTGGACCCAGCTGTGTAGAGCTTCCCCTGCTCCCTAGCTGCCAATTTTTCTGACACCTGGGGATTCCCTTGAGTCAGATATCATGGTTTTGTGAGCCTGAAGTTGAGCACCCCTGCTCTAGCACATTGGTTAAAGTAAAGGAGAAGGATTTAAAATATGCTTTGCATGGTTGAAGTTTAAATTCTATGTAAAGGTCCTATATTAACAGGATTTTCAGTTTTTATTTGCATCAGTGTAGGTTAGCCACCTGGTCCTCAAGGCAGTTTAACACTCTGCAGTGGTTAATCAGGTGGGAGTGGAGTTTTTATATATTTTTTTTCAAATGCCTTTGAGTCTCTTCCTTCTCATTTCTGGTAGCGTGGAAAGGGCTCTTGCAAGTTTGGGCTGTTCTCTCTTTACCCAAGCTTCTACATAGGGTCCATTCCTCTTCAGTTTGATCTTCTTGTTTTTATTTCTACTTCATGATCTTTAAATATTTCAGCATTGCTTTATTCCTTTCTGAGGGCACTTAGTCTGCTGGTTCTGTGCCTGTTCATAGGAAGTGGAAGCTATTTTTCCTTTAGAAATGCTGTGATGTTTTGTCACTGACCACAGTTGCTTCCCTGTCTCTTTCCAGTGCTGTGACTTTTGCAGCCCTGTATTTGAGGGAGCCCAGTGTATAAACAGAAATGTAGTAAAAAACAGAGGAGTTTTTTGTTTAAGCCCTTTGTATGGTTGCTCATAACTGTTGTAATAATACAATGCATGGGTGTGTGTTGGAGGAGGTCTGGATGTGTATGGAGAAAGCCTGAAGACAGCTGCTGCCGATCAGTTGTTTTCAACTTCTCTGTGATGTCTTCTCATTAATATGGCAGCTGTCATGGAGTCTGAAATAGGCACTGTTCTTTGATCCACCTTTTTAGTTTTTTCTGACATATGTGCATATTTAGACTGCCATACAAAGCAAGACTGCAGATATGTAATTTGCATGTCTGTGATGTTTAAACAAATCCTACAGAAATAAGATATTCCTG